TTGCTCTGTTCTGCGATGCGCGTTCATGACTTCACGTGATACGTAATTACGTTGAAAAGGTCACGCTTGACGTAACCGAGTCAATCGAGTCAATGTTTACAAACGTGGAGAAGGAGGACCGTTCAAAAGTTGTTGAATGTTCAATTCAAATGTCTTATTGTTTAAAATGGTCATTTCGTGTGCGTATCCTGGATGTTTTAATATTAAAAAACCTAAAAGAAAATTTTCGCTAGGAAAGAAAATTTTGACTTTTCATAGATTTCCCATACACAATCCTGAGCGATTGAAGCTGTGGTTGCTCGCGCTGCACTTGGATATCAACACACCCGAACATGCTCTGATATTTAAGAGAGTGTGCAGTGATCATTTTTTCTTCAAACCCTTCAAACCCTCCCAGCAAGGAAATCGCCGTTTTCTGAAAGCGTCGGCTGTGCCCAATACGTAATGTATGTATGTGTTTCATAACGTGTGAATGTTTATTTATTACTAATGTCTTCCTATTACTAAAGACGTGTTAAAATGTATTTTTTTACTCCTAAGTATCCGTCTCGTGGAAATCTAGAGCCCCTAGCAAAAGACAGTGACGCTGAGCTGGAGGTCCAGGGAGCAGGAGTGTTTTTGGCTAATGTTCCACAGTCAACACCAGCAAAGCATCAGGACTCTGGTCCAGAAACTACCACGAGACAGTTTGCAGATGCTCAGTCTAAACTTTGTTTAGTGCTCACAAGTCCTGAAAGTGTTGGAAAGAGGACAAAACCCTCAACATCTGAGACATGTTATGCCCTCCCTGCAATACACTCCCACCAGTCTGTAAGTACTATCATTTGTGACCAGTTAACAAAGTGAAATTATGATCAATTATGCTTTTGTGTTATACATTGGAAATAAATTAATTTCTAAAAATGTATTTAATAATTTGGTGATGTTGTATCCTTAAAAATGCACAGATATACTGTAATAAATGTATTAAATCTACTATTTACATTACTAATTTATATTCAGTTATATTATAAACCAAATTTAATCCATGTAATTTCACAGCCTCCTGTGTATAATCAACCAGAACAGACAGAAGAGCAATTTGAAGAAAGTTTGGAGCTTGATGTTAGCGTGCTTTCTATAGATCCTCCATCGGACAAGAAAGATCTTAGTTTTCAGCCACTGAGTTCAACCTCAATGTCTGCCCCAATCACAGAAGATGAGGAATGTGAAATGCATTAGAAACAGATAAAATGGATTGTCAACGAGCCCAATGGCATGGAGCTTTTCAAAAGATGTCAAGAATGTGGATCAGTAATAACAAAGACCAGAAAAGCAACTGTGGGAAGTGTTCTCCGTGTTCACTGAGAATGTGAAAAAAACCACAAGGGAAAGTGGAGTTCATGCACTGATGTTAGGGGAATGCCCGCTAATAATCTTCTTGTTTCTGCATGCACACTATTCACTGGAGCAACATATACAGACATCGCTGATTGGGCCACTTTGCTCAACCTTCAAATACCCCATAAAACCACTTATGACATTCAGTCTTCCTACCTTATTCCAGTCGTTAATGAAGAATATCAAGAACAACAGAAAGCAACAATTAATGACTTACATTTGCAAACTGAACTCCGTAATCCAGTTCATTTGTCCGGAGATGGGAGGTCAGACAGGCAAGTAAATGTAGTTATTAATTTTTTTGGACAATTTTAGAAAATTAACAATACTGAAATGTTTTGTACTTGTGCTTCTTTTAGCCCTGGATTTTCGGCGAAATACAACACTTACAGTTTAATGGATGACACAACAGACAAGATTGCTCACTTTGAGTTGGTGCAGGTCAGTTTACATGACATAATTCTACATCCCGTATGTTATTAATTATAAGTAACCTTAGTAAGTGTTCAGTATTTTAAAGTGAAGTACAGTAACATTACTGGCAGTTTTTGCAATGTTATGACCAATATAAAATGCTTTTAATAATACTTAATAAAATATGTTGGTTATTTTGAACATCAACGACAATACACACACCCCTTGTTTATCTAGCATGGTATTGCATTTCAGGTTACAGAAGCATCTAGTTCTGTGGCCATGGAGCCAGTAGGTTTCAAGAGGGCTGTGAACTCACTACAAGAGCAAGGAATCAAAATAGATGTGCTGACCACAGACAGATCACCATCTATTAGAAAGATTATGCGTGTCGAATATCCCAACATTCACCACGAATTTGATATTTGGCATGTAGTCAAAGGTAACTGTCTCACAACAATTTAATACTACTATATGTATATATATATATATCTATAGAGAGAGAGAGAGAGAGAGAGAGAGCGAGAGATATTAATCATGAATTATCCAAAAAGCAGCATAGTTCAAAGCTAATTTATTCCTATAGGAATATACAATGTGTTGTTTGCATGGATCAAAAAATTGCTACAATAAACCGTGAAGTACTAAATTAACCTTGGTATGCACTATATTGTCACTCCTTCTTCATTGTTTGATAATTAAAATTATTGTTTTTCAGGACTTTCCAAAAAGTTGTGCTCCATGTCAAGATACAAGGACAATCGAGAGCTGCAGCCATGGATACGAAGTATTTGCAACCATCTATGGTATTGCTCTGCAACTTGTGGAGGTGACCCTGACGTAAGTTCTTTAATGTTTTAATATTAACTTTAATTTCTCAATATATACACACACACTTGTGTTATCTTTTTTGGGGGCGTTACGTAGACATAATAGCCTTTATACTGTACTAATGTTATAAATGAGTCCCTGAACCACAACAGGACAGTCTGCATTTTTTGTAAAAAAATAAAAAAATAAAAATATATTACTATGGTTTGTTAGACTTTGTTCTTTATAGGGAGCTAAATTGTGTTCTTGTAATGTTTTAAATATTGGGGTTGCTGGACCACAAACATCTATTTTTCTGTTTACAATTCATACATTATTATTATAATTACTTTTTTGCGTATTCATGTATTTCTACAGGAACTGATCGAGAATTGGAAGTCCATTCTTTTTCACATTACAGGTGTGCACAGTTGGATTGAAGAAGGAAAGCCGAAAAAATGTGGACACAATGATCTCAGTCCGGAACAGCAACAAAGAAAAAAATGGCTTGGAAAAACCTCACGTGCCTTCCACACACTACAGAGTCTTGTCCTGGACAAAGGACTTCTAAAGGATTTGAGGCAAATGGCTCTTTTCAAACACACTGGTAAGATAGTTATATACACATACTAATGTACATACACATGTTCATGTAGGTACACCGGATACAAATTTTTCTTTTATTTTTAGGACAATTGGAGGTGTTTCATTCTGTCCTACTGAAGTACTGCTCAAAGAACCTGCATTTTCATTATGCGTCCATGGTTGCAAGAACACAACTAGCTATCCTTGACCACAATGAAAATGTAGGTCGTCAGCAAGCCACAACCACTACTGGTAAGTGGGAAACAACATACTGTGCGTAATATGTAGGGTGATGACAATAGATTTGAGTTCATAAAGTTGAGAATCAAATGGGAATGTTCTGTTATAGTAATGTAATCAATACAATTTGTATAATTTATTCTGTTATGTTTCATCTTTTTTCTTTTATTATAGGTGTACCTCGGTACAATGTGGTTTTCCCGAAACATACCAAAGAATGGTTAGCCAAAGCGATTTTTGAACAAACCACTCAAAAATTCAGAGAGACTCTGGTTGAGAAAGTTCTACAGCGGCGGCTGGACACCAACGTTGTTTTCAAGGACAGTTCTTCTCATTTGACTCATCGCCCATTGCCACAGAACATAGCCCTAAAACCAAGGCCTGACAAGCAAGAAGTAATTGCAAAGCGCTTATCAAGATTTGGACATTAATTTACTTTAAAAATGTTATGAGTCTAATGTACAATTACTATTATTACTCATGTTGTTTTATAGTTTTTCTCATTTTTTCTTATTGAGGTAACGACAGAATACACCGTTGGTAAAAAAAAAAACTATTTCTTGTGTTAGTGTGAATATATGGTCCTTACTGATGGTACCCTACATCAGTTGCAATTACACATCAACGACTGTAGTTATCTCAAATCTGTTTTATTCTTCCAAATAAACGTTCGTGTGAGACATCAAGTATGTAGTGTTGATGTATATACAACAACAAATAACACTGAATATGAAAGTAACAAAACTACAGCAATTACAGTAAGTAACATACTGCCCAAGCCACAACAAATTATAATGTTTATCAAAAATGTAACATTGTAATTCTAATTCCAATTAATATTCCTACAAAAGACCAAAAGCTTCTTCTGCTTCTCTGAAGCCCACATAATGTCCTGATGGAGAAGGGTATGACTGTCTGATTGCACTGACAACACAGGATGGAAGAACCCTCCTGTTTCGTCTTCCCAATCTCTCTCCTTTCAGCATCCATTCCAGAACTATCCTGTATGCCACCAGCCTGTATTGACTGTAAAATAAAAGAAATGTGTTTAGTGAATAACTTTTAAAAATATATATTTGTACTACATGTAATCACACTACACGCGATACTTACTCTACTGTTAGGGAGGTCCAGGGAGCAGGAGTGTTTTTGGCTAATGTTCCACAGTCAACACCAGCAAAGCATCAGGACTCTGGTCCAGGAGCTACCACGAGACAGTTTGCAGATGCTCAGTCTAAACTTTGTTTAGTGCTCACAAGTCCTGAAAGTGTTGGAAAGAGGACAAAACCCTCAACATCTGGGACATATTATGCCCTCCCTGCAATACACTCCCACCAGTCTGTAAGTACCATCATTTGTGACCAGTTAACAAAGTGAAATTATGGTCAATTATGCTTTTATTGGAAATAATGGAAATAAATTAATTTCTAAAAATGTATTTAATAATTTGGTGATGTTGTATCCTTAAAATATACTGCAAATACTGTAATAAATGTATTAAATCTACTATTTACATTACTAATTTATATTCAGTTATATTATAAACCAAATTTAATCCATGTAATTTCACAGCCTCCTGTGTATAATCAACCAGAACAGACAGAAGAGCAATTTGAAGAAAGTTTGGAGCTTGATGTTAGCATGCTTTCTATAGATCCTCCATCGGACAAGAAAGATCTTAGTTTTCAGCCACTGAGTTCAACCTCAACGTCTGCCCCAAGCACAGAAGATGAGGAATGTGAAATGCATTGGAAACAGATAAAATGGATTGTCAACGAGCCCAATGTCTTCAAAAGATGTAAAAGATGTCAAGAATGTGGATCAGTAATAACAAAGACCAGAAAAGCAACTGTGGGAAGTGTTCACTGAGTTCACTGGGAATGTGAAAAAAACCACAAGGGAAAGTGGAGTTCATGCACTGATGTTAGGGGAATGCCCGCTAATAATCTTCTTGTTTCTGCATGCACACTATTCACTGGAGCAACATATACAGACATCGCTGATTGGGCCACTTTGCTCAACCTTCAAATACCCCATAAAACCACTTATCATGACATTCAGTCTTCCTACCTTATTCCAGTCGTTAATGAAGAATATCAAGAACAACAGAAAGCAGCAATTAATGATTTACATTTGCAAACTGAACTCCGTAATCCTGTTCAATTGTCCGGAGATGGGAGGTCAGACAGGCAACTTAATGTAGTTATTAATTTTTTTGGACAATTTTAGAAATTTTAACAATACTGAAATGTTTTGTACTTGTGCTTCTTTTTTTACAACACTTACAGTTTAATGGATGACACAACAGACAAGATTGCTCACTTTGAGTTGGTGCAGGTCAGTTTACATGACATAATTCTACATCCCGTATGTTATTAATTATAAGTAACCTTAGTAAGTGTTCAGTATTTTAAAGTGAAGTACAGTAACATTACTGGCAGTTTATGCAATGTTATGATCAATATAAAATGCTTTTAATAATACTTAATAAAATATGTTGGTTATTTTGAACATCAACGACAATACACACACTTTGTTTATCTTGCATGGTATTGCATTTCAGGTTACAGAAGCATCTAGGTCTGTGGCCATGGAGCCAGTAGGTTTCAAGAGGGCTGTGAACTCACTACAAGAGCAAGGAATCAAAATAGATGTGCTGACCACAGACAGATCGCTATCTATTAGAAAGATTATATATATATATATATAGAGAGAGAGAGAGAGATATTAATCATGAATTATCCAAAAAGCAGCATAGTTCAAAGCTTATTTATTCCTATAGGAATATACAATGTGTTGTTTGCATGAATCAAAAAATTGCTACAATAAACCGTGAAGTACTAAATTAACCTTGGTATGTACTATATTGTCACTCCTTCATTGTTTGATCATTAAAATTTTAGTTTTTCAGGACTTTCCAAAAAGTTGTGCTCCATGTCAAGGACATTAATTTACTTTAAAAATGTTATGAGTCTAATGTACAATTACTATTATTACTCATGTTGTTTTATAGTTTTTCTCATTTTTTCTTATTGAGGTAACGACAGAATACACCGTTGGTAAAAAAAAAACTATTTCTTGTGTTAGTGTGAATATATGGTCCTTACTGATGGTACCCTACATCAGTTGCAATTACACATCAACGACTGTAGTTATCTCAAATTGGTTTTATTCTTCTAAATAAACGTTTGTGTGAGACATCAATAAGTATGTAGTGTTGATGTATATACAACAACAAATAACATTGAATATGAAAGTAACAAAACTACAGCAATTACAGTAAGTAACATACTACCCAAGCCACAACAAATTATAATGTTTATCAAAAATGTAACATTGTAATTCTAATTCCAATTAATATTCCTACAAAAGACCAAAAGCTTCTTCTGCTTCTCTGAAGCCCACATAATGTCCTGATGGAGAAGGGTATGACTGTCTGATTGCACTGACAACACAGGATGGAAGAACCCTCCTGTTTCGTCTTCCCAATCTCTCTCCTTTCAGCATCCATTCCAGAACTATCCTGTATGCCACCAGCCTGTATTGACTGTAAAATAAAAGAAATGTGTGCAGTGAATAACTTTTAAATATATATATTTGTACTACATGTAATCACACTACTTACTCTACTGTTAGGGTGCCACCAGGTCCTTGTGGCCTCGGACGGCGTCTCCAGTTAATTTTGGGCAAACTAAAAAACACCTCTAAAACGCTGTTGCTCAGTAGCGGTGGAAACCCATTTTGTTCGGTAATGCAGCGAGATGGAGACAGGGTCTCACCAGCTGACTCACTGACTGATTCTAATGGCGGAATTGAAATGGTCCAGTCGTGGCAGCATTGAGATTCTTCCTCTGTTGGCAATGGTTGGCATTTGCCACATGTGCACCACCACGTCTCGTTAGATCTTCGTCTGCCCGAAGCTTGAGAGGTTTGTGTCGCCGCAGCAGTCTCCTCCATCTGCCTAATTTCTTCCTCTGTGTATTCTGGTTCAAAAAGGTAGGGCAGGGCGAAAAACTCCATCTCATCTTCTCCTCCAAGTTCAAAATCGTCCGACATCGTTGTTTTACCTTTTAACTCCCTTTTTTTGTAAACGGTGTTTGACTTAGTATTTGCACGTTCAACTTGTAAACACTGACTCGGTACTTCCGCCTACGTCAAGCGTGACCTTTTCAACGTAATTACGTAT